TTACTTCTCTTTCCCTGGTTTTCTCATACCACTTCATAAATTGTTATGAACATTAAATTGTATAATACAAGTAAAGCCCCTTATAATAGTGTCCAACAAATGATAACTATTCAATAAATGTTGTCTGTTAATATTACTACATCTCTTTTGTGGTAAGTTACTGTGACATTTGGGAATATCTCCATCCTTCTACATAGGAAGCATAACTCCATGCAACTAAGTAAACAAGGTTGATTTTGAACCAATTCAGGAAAACATGGCTGCTGCTGGAACAGAGAGCGGTACCTCAATGTTAATTCCACTAAAGCAGCCTCATCTTCTGTATCCACAAGTAGAGGAGCATTATCATGGCAAGTGCTTTACATATATTATCTCATGTATCTCTGTGAGGCAAGCGCTATTATCCCCACTTTACATAAACTGAGACTCAGAAAAGTTAAGTGATTGACCCAAGTCACATAGCTGCTCAATAATGGGACAAGATGTCAAAGTCAGGTACAATCTTCAAACTAGCATTAATTCCACTGTGTCTCCTGAAAGGCGAGTGTACAGGGAGGAGCTGACCAACAAGAGCCATGGCCAAGGGCACATCCTTCCTTGGGCCCCGGAGACCCCCTTTTCCAGGGCTGCTGGGCAGACAGGCTGCATGTCTGACTGCAGGAATACAAGGTCACCACTGCAGCCAGACTTGGCTTCTCCCCTCAGTCATCTTTTGGAAGCTTGTGCTGGAGACTATAGTACAATCACTGCCCAAGTTCTCAGACTGACCAGTGCATCATCCAGCTGCCCCTGCCACACAGGCCAGGCAAGCCTGGGAGTTCTTGGAATAACCTGTCTCACTCTCTCCGGGGCCCAAGCACAGCCCTTTGCCCCCCTCGAGCCCTGGGAAGTAGTTTGTCTTTATCTATGCCTCTCAATACCTCCTCCCTAGTACCTTCCTTCCTTTCTAATTGTTGGTCACAATGTCTTGTCTACACTTTTTTGGGGAAAAAAAAAAAGGTGGCGGGAGGGAAAAAGAGTAAATTTCCAGGAATTGTTTCAAGGCTTCTGCTTCTGCTGCTTAGAGCAAAGCTGCACCACCACCACCCCTGCTGCCACCACCGCCTCCCCAGTTTGGCAAGGAACATTGCCCCATGCCCCTCCCTCCTTCCCTTCCTCCCAGGCTCATTTCAGCTACCCCACCCCCAGAAAATTCACATGAAAACTGCAGAGTTCTCACTTATTGCTTCCTGAGGGAGCAGCCTTCCTTCTGAGCCTGGGTCAGAAGGAGCCACCATGACTTCCTCACACTGTAAATGCACGCTGGTGACAAGCAGAGGTGGGGGCTGGACTAGGTGAAGGTGAGGCTGCAGGGCGATGTCTCCATATAGAAGGGAAAATTCAGAGACCAGGGAGACAAAAGTCACAAGCATGCAGTCTTGAGAGGAATGGAAATGGCCACGAGTGAGGTCCATGTGGAGAGAACAGAGACCAGAATGAAGAGCTTGGTCTAGCAGAAGCTCCATTGGCACAGTTTCAAGGCACAGAGAGGGAAGCAAAATTCTCAGAAAGCTCCTTACTAGAAAAAGGATAGACTAAAAACTAAGATCAGAGAGAGAAAGGGCCTGCTAATCGATCTGAGAAATCAAAGTAAGTCACGTTTCATACTAGCATAGCATAGGACAGATTTCTGGATGTAGGAATGGTCTGATAAGCAAAGAGAACTGCAAAATGAAAACTGTCTCTTTCAATGGAGAAGAATGGGGTGATAGTGGTACAACAATGTAAGCCCACATAATGCCGCGGAACTTTATACTTAAAAATGGTAAAAGTAGGGCTGGGGAGATGGCTCAGTAGAATAAGCGCTTGCCTGGCAAGCGCAAGGGCCTGAGTTCAATTCCCAGTTCCGCAAAAAAAAAAAAGTAAAATAATTTTTTTGGACAGGATATCCTGTCTGCTTCTTGTACTATGGATAACCACTAAGAAGATAACATTGTACAATGTATTGATTATTGAAAATGTCCTATTAATCAGTTTTGAAACTGTCTCATTGATATTTGTTTCTCAATAAAACAAAATAAAATTTAAAAAAGAAAAAAATGGGGAAAGTAGTAACTAATGTATATTTACCACAGTAAAAACTTAATTAAAATTTTTAAATCCCTTCTTTGAATGTCTAAACAAAATATAGTACGCACATACAGTACAATAATACTCAACCATGAAATGGAAGGAAGTACATATGCTATGGTGTAGATAAAGTTTAAAAATATGCAAAACAACAACAACAAAAAAAAAAAAACCAGACACAAAAAAGTCACCCGTTCGACTATTCTATGTATAGTGAATATCCAAACTAAGTACAGCCACATGGACAGAAAGCAGACTGGTGGCTACTAGCTCTCTCAACCGCATTCAAGAATAGGGCCGGCTCGCGGCTGGTGAGATGGCTCAGTGGTCTAAAGCACCTACTTAGAACAAGCTTAGCAAAGCACAGGGACTGCGGTTCAATCCTCCAGCACCACATGCCAGCCAGCCCTGCCCCCTGGTGGGCTGAGCTGGCCACACACACACATACACACACGCGCGCGCGCGCGCGTGTGCACATAAATAAAATAAATAAATTTAAAAAAAAAAAGAAGAAGAAGAATAGGGCCGGCCAAATAGCTCAGCGGATTAAAGCGCCTACAAGCAGGCACAGGGGCCAGGGGTTCATTCCCAGGGCCTGCTGTACTGGCCCCACCCCATTGGCAATTGAGACTGGGCATGGTGGCACACACCTGTAATCCCAGCTCATGGAGGCTATACACAGGTGGGTCACTATGAGTCCAATCTAGCAGTGAGACCCTAAACACCCTGTGGACCCTTCCCTAAAAAAAAAAAAATAAATAAAATACAGAAAGAAAGAAAGAAAAGAATAGCTGCTCTGCCACTGGCTACTGGCCATGCGCTCTGTGGACAGAGGAAGGACACATTTCCTAGTGCACAGGAAATGTCACAAGGTCATCACACTTTGCACCCTGGATACTCCAGAGTGGCCCATGAAAGACAACAGGTTTAAGAAGCAAGAGAAGCTCTTCTTGGACGTGAGGGCATCCACATGGGCTAGTCAGTGTAAAGCATCAAGAAGACCCTGCTAGGAACACACTAGTAATGTCCTCTTGATGGGTCCTGCCTGAGGGAACCGTTGTGTGCTAACTGGAGAACCCGGCAAGACAGGACAGGGCTAGGTGTGCTAAACCTTCAAGAACAACATCACCATCATTTTCTACAATCCCAAGACCATCATGAGAGGTGTGAAGCTACTCTTCCCTCTCTGAAGATCATCTCTGTCAGCCATGCTGTGGTGGCTGTGGTGATGGGAGGTGGCCAAACTGACAAACCCATCCTAGAGCCTGGCCATGCTTACAAGTGATGCAGAGGAACAGCTGGCCCTCAGTGTGCGATGTGGCCACGGACTCTATGGAGCATCCTTCAGGCGCACAAAGCATCAACACATTGGAAAAACCTCCACCATCCATGGATACACCACTGCTGGCCACAAAGTGGGTCTCCTCACTGCCGACCAGACCTGGAGTCTCCGTGGAACCCAAAAACCAGGCAGAAGAAAGAACCAGGGATGAAGTGCTCTGTAAACATCCTTCTAGCACTTAAAAAATAAAGATAAAAAAGAACTGTGGTTTCCAGGGCCTGCAGAGAGGAGGACACATTGCAGGAAGTGACCACTTCATGGGCGTAGTTTCCTAATACGTATTTGGCTGAGGTGGGAACAGCATAACAATGTAAATGTGCTGTATGCCACTGAACTATATGCTTTAATGTGGCTAGTTTTATGTTGTGAGAATTTCCCCCTTGATTAAACTTTCCTTTAATCCCCAACAACCAATGAACACTTGGTCCTACAGCACACAAAACAGGCCCCAGGTCCAGGTGGGTCTGCCATGTGCACTGTGGCTACTCTGGACCCCAAAGAAGAAAAAGATGCCCATCCCTCTACCCCCGGTGGTGTCTCGAGAATCAGTCCGGACAACTGAAGTGCAAGGGTGCTAAGAAGCAGGCAGCTCCACTGACACAGGGCCTCATGAACACAAGGCACAGGCCCAGAGCCCCTTACCCTTGCTTAGAAAGCAAGAAAAGGCAGGGAGCCTGGTCTTTTCCCAGCCCCATTCCTTATCTCCACCCCAGCCACAAACCACACACTCCCCCCAGGAGGCCAGAGTCCCAGGGAAGATGATGTGTCTTTTCTCCCTCCCCATCCAGTGCTCTCCTAAGCTCAGGCACAGCCCTCTCCCCCTCCCACATTTTATCTTTTCTCTCTCCCCAGAGTCTTGGCTCCAATCCCAAAATGTGCATTTCTTTCTTTTTTTTTTTTTTTTTTTTTTTTTTTTTTCTTGCGGTACCAGGGATTGAACTTAGGTCCTTGCACTTGCCAGGCAAGCACTTATTCTACTGAGCTATCCACTCTGGCCCTCCAATCCCAAAATGAAGTAGGCAGGGAGTTGGAAACTTTATGGGGGTAAGGGGAACCTGCAGGGGTGAATGCAAGCCAGTAGGGTCACCAGAATCATTAAATCTAGGCTGATTTTCAGATCTGTTTTAGCTGCTATCACCCCAGTTCTACTGAGTAGCAATTGACGGGTGGGAGAATGGGGCTGTGAGCTGCCTCAGAGAGAGGGAAGTGTGCCTTTATGAAAGATGCTTGTCACCAGTCAGCTCTGGAATTAGCACTTTACCTTGATGGCTCATTTAAATTTTACAGTCATCCCTTTTCATAGCCACTACTGTCTCTATTTTGCACAGGAAAGAACTAAGGCTTCAAGAGGCCGAGTCACACAGCTAGTGAGTGAAGAAGAGTCTGGGCTTTAATGCTTGCACCATTCCTAGATCTGAGTCTGGGACATCCCCTCGAACTGGATTGGGTGAACGCAGGAAAACAGAAAACCCTCCTAAAGAGCTGCAGCCAATGATAGCTACTTCCCAGATAAAGGGTGGCCCTGAAGCCAGCAGCAAAGCCAGCCCCACAGCCACTGTCCCACCAGCCTCCTAGCAGCTCCCTAACAACCCAGGCCTGCAGGACCTCCAGGACAGAGGTGCTCCAGAGGCAAATTCAGGTGAGTGTCTCTGTGTCCCAAGAAAGAGACTGAGTGGGGGATAAATGCTTAGCAAAGATGTATTGGGGGGAGGTCCCCACCTATGGTCCACATAGCAAGACGGGATGTCTCTAATAAAGACATACACTAAAATGCTAGGAATTCAAGTGCTGGGAGAGGGGAAGATTGGAAACCACCTGGAGCAGAGGGGCCAGCTGGACTGGAAAGAAAAAAACCCTTGTTGGGCACAAACAGTCCTGAAATTCCTTAAACAAAGTGTCTCTGCTCTTGGGTCAAAGAGGGCAAGTTCACCAAGGCTAAACATCCCTTCCTTGCCTTTTCAGGCCCTTAGGCCCCAAGTTGCTGTGCCTTCTGACTGGGAAACGTAAGACTGCTTTCAAGGTCTCCTTTCTCTTCCAACCCTCTCTTCTTCCCAACAGGCCTTTGCTTGTCCTCATGTCAGTCAAACCGAGCTTGGGACCCAGCCCTTCAAAGGAGCCCACTATGCTGCCTGACAATTACTTTAGAGAGATCCACAACTGGACAGAACTGCTCTACTTCTTCAACCACACCATACCTGAGTGCCACATAGAGCTCAGTGAGAACACCAAGCGTGTGGTCCTCTTTGTCCTCTACCTGGCCATCTTTGTGGTTGGCCTGGTGGAGAACCTCCTGGTGATCTGTGTGAACTGGCACAGCTCAGGCCGTGTGGGGCTGCTGAACCTGTATATCCTCAATATGGCCATAGCGGACCTAGGCATCATCCTGTCCCTGCCCGTGTGGATGCTGGAAGCCACACTAGACTACACCTGGCTCTGGGGTAGCTTCTCCTGCCGTTTCATCCATTACTTCTACTATGCCAACATGTACAGCAGCATTTTCTTCCTGGTGTGCCTCAGTATTGACCGCTACGTCACACTCACCAGCACTTCTCCTTACTGGCAGCGCAACCAGCAGCGAGTGCGGCGGGCAGTGTGTGCAGGTGTCTGGGTCCTCTCAGCCATCCTCCCACTGCCTGAAGTGGTCCACGTCCAGTTGGTGGATGACATCGAGCCCATGTGCCTTTTCATGGCACCTTTAGAAACATACAGCACATGGGCACTGGTGGTATCCCTATTCACTACTGTACTGGGCTTTCTGCTGCCCTTCCCTCTCATTGTTGTCTTCAATGTGCTGACAGTCCGCCAGCTGCAGAAGCAAGGACTGCCTGAGGGCTGGCGCCACTGCCGACTGGTGTGTGCCTACATAGTTGTCTTTGTCATCTGCTGGGTGCCCTACCACATGACTATGCTGCTCATCAGCCTGCTGGGAACCCATATCTCCCTCCACTGCTACCTGACCCACCTGCTGTACTTCTTCTATGACATCATTGACTGCTTCGCCCTGCTGCATTGTGTTGCCAACCCCATTCTTTACAACTTTCTCAGTCCAAGCTTCCGTGGTCGGCTGCGAAATGCTGTGGTCCATTACCTTCCAAAGGATCAGGCCAGGGCAGGGGCCCGGGCTTCCTCTTCCACCTCTTCCACACAGCACTCCATCATCATCACCAAGGAGGGCAGCCTGCCCATTGCAGTGGGCCCCAACTCCACCCAAGCCTGAACTTCCAGCACCCTCTTTGCCTCAAAATGCTTCATCTTCACTCTGCAATGTCATAGCCAGGTGAGGCAGATTCTAGGCTCCTCCACTGGTAAAAATAAAAGGCTGGAGGGGAAGATGAGAGAATGAGGGAAGGGGTGGAGGAATGGGGGAGAAGATTAGAACATTCAAGGCCAATTCTGAGCATATTTTAAAATACTGAAGTGGGAGAGATGCAGAGGGGGTGAGGAGGGATAAAGAATAAGTCCTTTTTTGGTGTTGCACTATTTGTTTCAGTCCCTGTGTCTAAGGGAGCCACATATGCACATGTGCCAAAAAAAAGTAAAATAAATAAGAGACAGCCATGGCTCTAGATCTCAGAGAACTCTGCACTACAGCTGGGTTTGGAAAGGGAGCGGAGGCTACAGGGATGGTCTGCAAAGAAAACTAGACGTGCTCGTCTCATAAATCACCCTGACCGGAAAAAATGAGCTCCACAGGAACCTCACAAAACTTTCCTTTTCTTTGTGTGCTTGTTGATCTTCCAGCTCACTGCGCAGGTTGTGAGGACAAGAGGCCAGAGGCCAAGGAACCAGGAGGCCTCAGCAGGACGTTCCCTAGTGGTGCATCCTCAGTGCCATGATAAGCAGAGGCGGGTGGGAAAGCAAGGGTGGGGCGAAGCCCGTCAGAGACAGGCACCCTGCAGCTGGGTCAGCAGGATGGTCTCTCCACCCTTGACCCCTCAGGAAACACAGCTCCATTTCCTTGCTGATATCCTCCCGTCCCCTGTGTCCATCCTGGCTTTCCTCCCCCACAGCACATGCACTCAGAGCCCACGCTCCTCACAGCAAACCTCCCAGCTTTGGGTCTAGGACACAGTCTTCTAGGGCAGTGATGGGAAACCTTTCAGAGCTTTCAGTGATAACAAGCAGCTGGCTGCAGCACAGTGCGCCGCAGGTTTGCCACCACTGCTCCAAGGGAGACACAGAGCTCCCCACCTCTTCCTTGCCCTCCAGATCACAGGAAAATAAGAGGACATCTGTTTCAGGAAGGGGCCTTGAGAATGCCAGCTGCAGGTGCTGGCAGTTGTTGCATCCCTTGGCCCTTGCATAGGTTGGGGAAGGCCCAAGTGGAAATTTCCCTGCTTTGTCACAGGGCAGAACTCTGGCCCCAGGCACTTCTTCCTCGTCCACTTCTTGATTATTTTCTTATCCAGCGACTTACATTAACTACCACTTGTTCTATAGATAAAGATGGTCCTCTAATTAACAAGTAGGTCTTCTGGAAGACTCATTTATCAGCTTAGGAAATTAAGACCATAAACATGAAAAACTGATGTGACAGCCTAAGAATAGGTCCTAATTTCTGCCTTTCAATTCCACATTCTTAGCCTCCTGTTTGTGGAGTAAGAACTGGTCCTGAAGTCACTGATCTCTTGACTGTCTCGCCAGTCCTGCTCAAGAGCACAGCATGCCAGGAATGTTTAACTTGGAATAACAGCTCACTTCCCAGAGAGCATTTCCTCTGCTCCTGTGCTCTCTGGGAACATTTAAACACATACCCCAATGGTGCACACACCCAGGCCTGTCAGCAGTACAGAGGGAAACCATATCTGCCATCCACTGCTCACTAGGCCCAAACCTGAAAAGGTCTTAAACTGTAACAGCTGCTCAGTGGTGCAGAGCTGAAGGTTTTCTGAAACAGGAGACTAGATTGTGACTTGGGACGTACAATAACAGTTTAACCTAATAATGCAGAAGCCACATTAAAATTGTTCACACTTACAAAGCAACCCAAGATCAGATACCCATGTGACTGCCAGGAAGATAACTGGTTTTGGAAATGAGAAATGGAGCTTAGTCAGAGGAGGTATAGGAGGGCCCTATACTTCCTTAGAGTTCCTCCACCCATGGAAGGGAAGAGTGGGAAGTGGCTACACTAACTGCTGCAAAGCTGTTCTACTCTGCACTTACTGAGCACCAATGAAAGCTGGTCCTGAGCTGGTCCCCATGTGCCCTGGGACCAAACAAACCACATCCCTCCACACCTGCTGGAGGCTGGCTTCCTCTGCGGAAGCATTTTGGTACCAACCTCTTGCAATTAGCTCAGACCTCCATCTCTTCCTTGTTCGAGTCTTCCTTTCCCCTCCCCACTTTCTATCTGTATTGGAGACATTTGAAGACACACTGCTTCACCATGAATTAACAGCAATGGCAAGTCAGTGTGTCTGGCCAAGACCCTTACGTAGGTAGTAATCTTGGTTTAAGTGGACATCTGCAGAGGACCACAGCAGTCTCTGGGCTGATAGCAGATGTCCTGAGAGATGCGCACCTGATAATGTTGAGTCTTTGACTTAATTTCCCGCTAAAGCAAGTCAACAAGCTAATCTTGGGAAATTCCAACTATAGGAAAAGAAAATGGGCTACATGAAAGAATTCTGGCATCTGTGGAACCATGCCTTACTGAAAGGGTGATGAGCTCAGATAACTGGAACTCGAGACAGGGGCATGTTCACAGTACACAGGAAAAGAACTCCCATTTCAAATTTCTTTTTTTATTATTCTAAATAAAAACCACACTTTGTGCTGAACAATGGAATATAAAAGAATCAGATGTACAACGATTTTAGACATCTACTATTTGGGAAAAGTTTACAAAATGTACAAAACTTTACAGCAATAGATAGTAAACACTTAAATATCAGGAGGTCAGTACTTATTAATTTAGTGGAAAGAGTTAGACATCAACACCTCTTCTCCGTTTCAAAAGATTTTAGCTATTACAGGTAGGGGGGAGGATAGGTGGATTGGACAAGACTGTTTTGTTTTGTTTGTTTGTTTGGTTTTTTTGGCGGAACCGGGGATTGAACTCAGGCCCTTGCGCTTGCCAGGGAAGCGCTTATTCCACTGAGCCATCTCCCCGGCCCAAAAGACTGTTAAAGAAACATCAAATCAAAAGCTTCATTTTCATTCTGATGTGAAGCTTATGATGCATAATCACACTGAAACAAATGCGGTGAGCACCTACTTCCTGACTCATTTGATGCAGGATTTTGTGACACGGACACACAGGGACACCCAAACAGGCCTAGGCTGTCCACACAGCCCACTCCCATGCCAACAAAATCAGTGTCCAGCTATAAGGATTTAAATTCATTTTCAAAGTCAATGGGTGTGGGGTCTGGGGAATAGGACACAGCAAGAGGCAAGAAAATTTTTCAGTAGTAAAAACCTGACTGGGGGAAAGATATCTAAGCCCAAAAGTTTGTCCTGAAAACAAAGTGGGGCTGATGGGTCAGAAGAGAAATAAAAAAGAACTTTACCCACTTCCTGGTTCTTATGGGTCACCTGGGTCCAATCCCTACCTCACCTCTTTTCTTCCCAACTAGTCATTCAATCATAGGACTTGTATATTTTAGATTTAGTATCAAATATTAGGGTTTAGAACTCCCATGGGTGTTGAGGCACCCATGGACCATGAGGGGTCACTAGAGTGCAGGACACTGATCCCCTCCCCTGGCCACAAGTAGCCTCTATGGTTTTCCCGGCATTCCATTTAAGTATTGCTGTTTCCCCTTAGGAAACAAGTTGGGAATGACCCCAAATTTGGTTTAATGCTCTACAACCACCATCTTAAAAATCCTAATACTCTGTGAAGAAGAGGGCTGTGTGAATTATGTAGCTGGTCCTGAGTACTGAGCAAAAAGGGAAAACAGGAAAAGAAACAACATTCAAGGGTCAAACAGAACTTCAGAGTAATACAGCAGAGGGCAGTACTAGACAGCAACAGGATCCAATGAATACCACCAAGTCAAGTAAATACCTTCACCAGGTATCCTAGAGCGCCCTTTGCCACAATACAGCGTTTCAAGTAAAACAACTCAGGAAAGAGTAAGCTAGAGGCAGAGGAAGCAAACATGACCTCATGTGGATAGGAAGTTCATGTATGAATGTGGGGGATGCCCAGAGGGACAGGGTTTGGTCACTGTGCCTCACCAGTTACTGATCCTGCTTGCTACATGTCTGACTGGGATCAACTGGGCCTCCCTGATCAACCATTTCTCCTCAGAGAAATCAGGGGGGAGCAGTTTTTTTAGTGTTTCAAGGGCAAAATTTCAAGGATCTGCTTTTTGGTTTACTGGCACAAGGGGAAAACTTCACAGTTTCAGGTTACGTATACAAATCACCCAGCATCTGTGATGCCCTCTACTAAGAAAAAGAGTTTCTTCCATGTATTTATCCATTCTCAGCTACCTGACAGGGTTCTAGTAAGTACCACCTCTCTCAGCAACCATTCAAAACTCAGTCCTTATCAAGCCTCAGAGGATCCTTCATGTTTGAGAATAGCAGATACTTGACTACTCAAGTATTATAGACTCCCTTCTTAAATTCCTACTGGTCAGTGTAAAAAGTCTCAGCACTGCTTTCATCATGAGATATTCTGAGTCAGGTTTAGATGGTAAAAGGTGGGCCTTTAACCAGCCATTACACAATCCTCTCACCTGGTGGAGACTAGAAAGCCCACAGAGAGCCCTGTGCTCTAAGGTTTGCTCAATCCAGGGCTGGAAAGAGAAACAGCAGGCCCAACAGGGATGGAGCTGTGGTTCACCTGTGTGTCTTAGGAAAGACAAGAACAGGAGCCCACTTAAATTCAGAAAGGACAAAAAAGTGTATAAAAAGCTCCTTCATAAGACCTGATTTGATCCCCTCATCCCAGTCCCTAATCTACTCCATCACAGGACAGAAGGAAGATGAAAGGTCTGGGAATTTAACTGGGCCCCAACATTCTAGAACTTACATCCACTGCCTACAGGAAGAAAATTTAAAAGGCTTGTTTAAAAGGCTTGATGTGGTCTCCCCCTCATTACATCGCTATTCCCCAAATCTCTGGCCAAGACAGTCCACTGGTATATGGCTACTTGCTTGGGAGAACTTAATTTTCCTGAAGTCTCTTACCCAAGAGATGCTGGGTAATATGCATACAAAAAACAAAACAATAAATAAATATTAATGTCCAAAAAGGCTTTGTGGGTTAAACTACTTCTTGTGAAACAGCCTGAAATGTTGCTAAGTCCCACCAAGGGCAGAGTCAGGCTGTGGCTAAGGACTCCCAGAGCTCGCCTAAGCAGGGTGAGGTAGTATGAGCTACTGAGGTGCCGCCATGTGAGAATACAAGATCAAGGGCCCTCTCCCTCCAACCTTCTTTGGGCAAGACCCCTTTAGAGAACAACTAAGAATGGAACCAAACAGCTACAAGAATTGGGCCGCCTGAGGAGGGCCTGAACCAGCTATCATCCAACAGTACCTCCTGAAGGTGATGCAATGACACAGGATCAATTCCAGCAGGTCAAAGGTGAGCTGTTAAAGCTTCAGCACTGCTAACACAAAGTAAACAAGTTACCTAACTGGGACAGACAGATGCACAACCTGCTACACACCACCAATTACTCAAGTCCCTTTATCCCTCAAGGGCTCACAGTCCAACACTCCACCTCCTGGATTCTTTCATCTATGTTACAGGCCAAACCCTCTTGGGTGGGAGACTGGATATAAATTAAGGCAAGGTTGCTGCTGTCAGAGACATCTGCTGTTCTCCACTAGGAAATTCAAGGTCACTGGAGGCAGCCAAAATGACAAATAATTACATCCAAGTGTTTTTCTGTCCACTCTGCCCAACAGAGAAATCTTGATGTCCTGGGCCATCATTCCACAAAATTCTTTGGAAATGAGAAAAGAGGATTCTCCTCTCTGCCATCCAGGTTGCCACATTTGGTGGCACTATAGGACTCACCCCATCTGCTGGCAAGGACTCATCCCAAAGCTTTGTGACCTAAATAGAAAGCTTTGCTGCCAAAAGATTTGCACTGCCAATCAGATTAGGGCCACAGAACAAGCAGGCTCCTCTATCCCTAATGCCTTTTCCCTACTAAAGGTTGGCACTAGAACTGAGGTGAGTGGCTCTGCTAACCAGTCCTTTCTGAATGACCACTTTCCCCCAGTCCTTCTCACAGCTAGTTGTCCCAGTTGAAGGTCTACCCACAGCGACCTCTCTTCATCTCCTTTATCCTGTGAGGCTGTTGGTTGGATTCTTAGCAGCATAAAACCTATCAGTAAACTAAAACTAGAGACGCTAGAAGGGAATCTAGTTCACACAACTGCTTGACTAGACCCCAAAGCAGCCTCAAAAGAATCAAAAGCACAGCCCTTCCTGGGCCAGAACAGGTATGGAGGTAAATGCAACAGAGCTGTCGCATTCTCAAAAACAGTAACAGCTTATGTGCTATATATGTCTAAAAAGAACAAAGAACAGAATTCTAGCAAGGCAAAAACTGTAGCTTCAACTGGGAAGAGACCAACAGCCATCAGAAAAACCACTGTTCTAGCTGCCACCCAGGAAGTCCCCTGGCTCTGCTGGGACCCAGTCAGCTGTCTGGGTTCTTTTCAGCCTCTTTGGAATGGATAATGTACATGAAGGTCTGCTCGATGGTGAAGTCAGGTGGTAGGCTGCCTTTGTGCACACCGACATGTTTGCTCATGAGGTTAAGGGTGGAACTGTAGTGGCCACAGACTGTGCAGCGGTACATGAGTGCACCTGAGTGGGTCTTGAGGTGGCACTTGATGGTCGAGCGGCCTCGGAAGAACTTGTGGCATACCTTACACTGGTACGGCTTCTCACCCGTGTGGATCCGCCGGTGGTAATTGAATTCACTTGTGTGGGCAAACCTTTTGCCACAGACCTTGCAATTATATTTGCTGTTCCCAGGTTGGCCCTGCAGAACCAGCTCCTCACTCAGAAACTCCTCTGCTGGTAGCTTCCGCTTCTGGAGGGCTGGGTGCTGCAGCCCCAAGCCAGGCCGCACCTCAAGGCCACTGTTGCACTTGTGCTGGCTGACATGGTAGCGATAGGCAGCCTCTGACCTGAAGCTCTGGCTGCACAAGTGGCAGTGGAAGAGGGCATCTTCCAGGCTTTGGTGCACAGCCAAGTGCTTCTCCAGGAGGTGCAAATCCACAAAGCTGCTGGCACAAACAGAACAGGAGAAAACTGAAATGCCCAAGTGGGACAGCGTGTGCCACATGAGGCTGCAAAGGCTGAGGTGGCGGTGGTCACAGATGCTACAGGCCTGCCCCTTCAAGTTCATATGGTCAAGGATATGGCCTCGGACCACATGAAAATCTTTGGCCAATGCCTTCCCACAGGCAGCACATTTCAACTCTGGGGAGGCTGCCCCTGAAAAGAGACCCAGTTTTCCAGGCAGGGGCTCATTAGGGTGAACAATGATGTTGTTCTCAAATATTCCATCTCGTCGATGAAGTGTTAGCTGCCACTGGGTAAAGAACTTTGTTTCACACATGTCACAGGAAAAAAGAAAAATGCCAATGTGGGAGAGGACATGGGTCACCCGAGAGTTTCGATCCTGGAAGTGGGTCTCACAGACCTTGCAGTTGCCTGTCAGCAGGTCTACATGGTCCCTAGCATGCTGTCGGATCAGTTGAATGTTAGGTTCTAGAACTTTCTTGCACACCTGGCAGAGCATAGCCTTATTCTCCCGGCTATCATTCTCTCCAAAGGTCAGCTCATCCTCACTGTCATCACTTAGCTCAATCACCTCTTCCACTGTCCCAATCTCCTCAGTGGGGTCCTCAAACTGCAAATCATCATCCCCCAGGTCCTCCAGCTGCAGCTCATCCATCTGCCCAAAGCCTGGCTCTTTGGAGTGGTCACTACTGCTCAGACAGGAATTGGTCCCAGTGGTGATGTCAATTGCATTGTCAGGCGGGAAGAAGCTGTTTTTACTGAACTCCCCATTGCTTTGCACTTTGTAGGGTTGGCAAGAACTGGTGCTGGTCCTGATACCCATGCTGACAGTGCCTAGGACTGGCTGGGATGCCATACTAGTAAGAGATATGAAAGGAGCCGGGGTATCATGGTCTTCTGTCTTTGGTGGCAATGGTGGCTGTGGCAGAGGCAGGCTGTGATTAGTGTCACTGGCAACATTTCTCTCTTCCTCCTTATAACTTCCTCCAGCATCAGCTGGCAACACATAGTTTCTATCAGGACCAAAATGTTCCCCATTGCTCCGGAGTTCTCCAAGTGCATGGGCAGAATCTGCCGAGGGACAACTCAGAGTACCAGACTGGCTCTCACTGGTACTGGTCAGAGGTTTGGCCACAGTTGTGCTTTCCAAGTCCGGAAAGGTAGCATGGCAGGCCTGGAGAAGGTCTTCCATACCCAGACGTTCAGCTACCTCATAGATGACCCCAACGTTGATCAGGTCTGTGAAGAGCTCTGACGTGTAAACAAAGCTCAGAATCTTCTCAAAGTTGGCAGGGGTGATGAAGTCCACCACATAGGTCCTGGCAGCATCAAGCCCAGTATTCAGAAAGAGGTTCTGGAAGTAGCCAGCTGCACAGGCCAGCACTGCCTTGTGGGCTGGGAAGGAACGGCTCCCCACCACAATGGTGACATCGCACATGGTCTCCGAGAGCCGACACTTGTTGAGTTCCTTCAGCAGATTGTTGGGGTGGTTGGTGCTTTGAAGTTTGATCCTCATGCCCATCTTAGCAGCTCCTACAAAGTTGTCTCCTTAGCAGCACGGTTAATCTGTGAATAGCAAAAGAAAAAGATGGAGGACCCAACAAACCTGCAAGAAAGGCTCTGGAGAAGATACCCCATTCTGAGTGTGTACATATTCTGCTGGGGCAAGTACTACAACAGAAGACAATAACCTGTCTCCTGCATACACCCAAACTCAGAGAAACTGGTGACAACACCCAAGGAGTGAAAAACCTGACTTGCTTGATTTTAAAAAATCAGTAAAAGGGGGCCAGGGAGATGGCTCAGTGGTATAAGCACTTCCCTGGCAAGAGCAAGGGCCTGAGTTCAATCCCTGGTTCTGCAAAAAAAAAAAAAAAAAAAAGAAAAAGAAAAAATCAGTAAAAGGATGTGCGCCTCAAGCTAGAGCTTTACAGCTAAGTAGAAAGCATTCTCTCAAACACAGTCTTGTATTTCATTATCAGCATAAGTAGCTCAAACTTTTCATATTTTAACGCCTTTTTAGGCACACACTTTATTAACTCAGGGTGTATATTCTCTTACTTCAGGACACCAAATGTCATACGTACAAATTCAAAAAAATTATCAAAGCACCACAAGGTACTGAGGAACAGTTATGGGGGCACCATCTTTCAGTTTTGTAACTGCTGTATTTTCTGTCTCTAAATCTCACACTCTTGAATTGCCATCCTTCCCTACTGACGATAAATGCCTACTCTGGCCCATTTACTATAATCCAGGACAATTTTAATATTCTGTGGATGAAGTTCACTCAGAACCAAAAAAGTAAAGCAAAGTAGAACACAACTGTAGTAAATGTTACTTGAGCATGCTTTATTCCCTCTTACCACCCTTTTTGGGTATTGGGCTCGCACTCACGCTACACTAACAGATTTACTCAACGCCTTGAGAAAGATATCCAATCAGCTAAGACTCCTACAGTCTAATTCAACAGCAGGCTTTCCCTTCTCTACTCTTGCAAGCTTGTTCTGTCTCACGACTCACCCTGAGCAGCACAGCCCTTCTGCCCTCTCACCAGATTCTACCAACAACGCCCAACTTTTTCTGGGGCCCAGCAATCTTCTCAACATTGTTAGGTACCAGCCAGGCACCTCCCCAGCCCCGGCAGCCACTCATTCACGGTGGGCTGGCCAAGGTTCTGAGCAGCCTGAGTGGGGACGAAAGAGGGGCTACTCGGAACTTGGAGGACACCCCTACACGCCGACCCTCCGCAGGGTGGAATCCGACAGGCTGGGCGGTGGAGCAGGCTGGGACACTCCCCTGGGAAGGCCCGAGCGCCCCAGTCCCACCACGGACCGCTCGGGGCTTTCCCGGGTGGGCGACCCGAGCGGGCGGCAGGCAGAAAGGAGGCCCCTGAGCGGCGGCGGGGTCAGCGGGGCCGATCGGGGGCGCGCGGGGAGATGGGGCCGGCCGAGGGCAGCGGGCCGGAGGAGCCCGGCGAGAGCGTCGGAAAGGCCGGCCGGGATCGGACTCGGCCAGGGGCAACCCTCGCCCGGCCGCGCTTACCCGGCTCCGCGGG